TGTGAATGTAGTAAACCCCTTTACACACGATCTGTTACCATAGACTGCCATGTTAAATCGACATTATTTATATATCCACAGGCGGAAAAAGAAATTTAATGTTTTGCGCATGCGCTCATATTTTGAGGTTTTAAAATTAACCTTGATTTTCCTAATCAAAAATCAATAATATATTATACCTGTACAAGAATATAGTACAAGACCTGAAGAAATGACCTAAACATAAATAGAGCCCGTGTCTCTGAATGTTAAACAGGACCATGTTCTCGTGTATTGGACCTAATTCTGACCCATCATATAAAGTAAAGGGTTTATTTTTCGCCTTTTATTATCATCTATTGAAATTGCTCTAACGCTTCTATTATAATACGTACAACTTACCAATATTACAGGTCAGACAATTTCGAGACACAAATAGTTGGACTCTAGTTGTTTTAATTGATTTCAGGAGCATTTTAACGTTTCATTTTATTTTGTCACAAAATATTTCTTTTTATTGAGGCCAGAAAACTGTGATGTCTGTGCAAGCGGTAACAGGTCTGTTTCTTTCTATTTTCACTGAATGACAAGATAGAACATCTAGGTCACATCTGCACAAAAAAAATAGTTCTAATATATTTATACCCATACCTCTTTTCTCGATCCTTAGTTCTTTAGAGTAGGTTATTGTCCGATACACCTACACTTTTCGTGATACACCTCCGCTTTTGGCAATACACCTACACCAAAATTTATGTGAATTATATGCCGCTGAGTATCTGAAATCCAAATCCAAAGATGGCGGCATAGAACAACAGTTAATTCATAATGTTTATTCAAAAGTTTCTTCATTGTCTGTCTTTAAACATAATGTTCTATTTACTGATAAATACAAACAATGCACTGTAAACACAAAATATATGTACATAGTATAAATTTGTATAATTTCAATGTTCAATGTACTATTACCGCTATTCGAGATTAACAATATTAAAACTTAGAACGATGTTATTTGAGAATGATATTTTAAATTTTATTTGCATTTGAATATCTTTTGGTTGATAGACATTTAAGGTTTGTGGAGTTTACATTATACACACTTCTTTCCTCAAAGAAATATCAAAAAATAATCTTGAAGATTTTGAAAAAATCTGTGAAATACGTTTCTAAATTATAATTTTTTCATTGATTCACACCCTAAAACATCTAAGGCCATCTTTAAACTTTGTAGTCATGAATGACTATAAATACATTACTGTTTGCTTCAATCCTCCTTCTCTAGATAATTTTCCACAAAATTCAGTATATTCCCCACGATAATGCTTGCAGAAAACATAAGCATATTACTGGGTTGACCAAATACTATTAATCCAATGTGTATATTCCTGGAGAAACAAGCAGCAAAAAAGCCTTATCCGGTCTTCTGATTTCCATATCACATGGTAAAGTAATATTTCCTGTTTCTGGTATATAGATAAGAGATAAAATAAGATCAGATTCGTGTCGAACTCTTCCACAAATGGTGTTGAGATCTGTTAATGAAATGTTCTTTGAACTCATTGGTTCACCCATTATTAGTAGCCAATCAAAACATCGATAGAAATCTGCACCTGCCTTTCAGGTCATGAAATTCAGCGTTAATACATATCAATTGATAATTGTTAGTTCAAGTTGTATGGGGCGATTTCACAAATTTTCAAATTATTTTCTTTCAAATTTATTAAATTATCACCCGTATTTAATTCTCGAATTAGATTGATGTTTTAAGTCAGTTATATACATGGTTTCCTCGGTGTATAGGCTGCTACACCTACTCTTTTTCGAGTGAGATTCTCAATAGTAGTAAAGATAGCTTGCGAGGCATACGCCCACTGGCAGCTGTCAGAAATGATAAAACAGTCTTTAGTGACTAAAGTACGAATTTTCTCATATTGAAGAAATGTTATTAGTTTGAATTCAATTACATATATATGCCAGTTATTTATGCTGAGTAATTCCACAAATTTAAAATCAATATCATTAACCCAAATAAAACAAACAATTAAATCACACAGCTCTAATCAAAGGCAAAAAACAACTTTTGACGCGTGTTTACAAAGTCAAGGGCAATAACTCAAAAACCGTTCATCAACAATGCGTCAATTAAGAACTTGTCCGAGATCTTATCAATTCCATTGATCACACCCATTTTCATCAAAATCGGTTGAAAACTGTAGCTTCTATTGTGCTCAAAAAAAAATTTTAAAGCGTTATACAAAGTCAAGGGCAGTAACTCCGAAAGCGTTCATTGAAAATGTCTTAAGTTAGAACTTGTCCGAGATCTTATCAATTCCAATGATCATAACAAGTTTGATCAAATTTGGTTGAAAACTGTAGCTTCTATAGTGCTCACAAACACATTTTGACGCGTTTTTACAAAGTCAAGGGCAGTAACTCAAAAACCGTTCAGCGAAAATGCGTCAAGTTAAAACTTGTCCCAGATCTTATCAATTCCAATGAACACACCAAGTTTCATCAGAATCGGTTGAAAACTGTAGCTTCATGCCTGCTCACTAACTATTTTTTAAAAATTTCGACGCATTTTAACAAAGCCAAGGGCAATAACTCAAAAACCATTCATCGCAAATGCGTCAAGTTAGAACTTGTCCGATATCTTATCAATTCCAATGATTATGCCAAGTTTCATCAGAATCGGATATTTGTCGATTTGAATTTTCTATAAAATCGTTTTTTCCAGGTTTCTGGAATGTCTATTCTTTGATGAGAGATCTTCCGAGTTTTTAATTCTTCGATAAGAAGTTGATCTATCACGGCGAACTCGTTTTCCGCCAGAAGCAGCTTTCATGGAACTGGTAGCATTTACGGCATATTGGAATAATTCGTCTGCAGATGTTGGTGAAATCGGGGGAGTAACCAGAGCAAATTCAATATTCTTTAGCTGTTTTCTTTTTAGTCTGGATTCACTATTTTTCTTTCTCCAGTTAGATCGAGTTGGCTTTGCTCTCTTGGATCCTGCTCTTCTATTGTCTTAATTTTCTTCTTATATATCTTGTTCGTTCTTTTGATATACGGCGTGTCTCACCGGATAACTCTTGATTTTTTCAATTTATCTTTTATCTGTATCTTTGTCTTTCCCATTGAATTTTTCAACCCGGTTTCCCCCTGTCAGTGATGCAGGTAAGAGGGGCTGACATGGAAAAAGCGTCTAGTCGTTCGGATGGGACAATAAACCGAGGCCCCGTGTGCTACAGGCTGTGCACGTTACAGATCCCTCGACAGTAGGAAATCGAAAAAGAGCAGGCCAATGCCGCTGTCCTGGCAAAATTTCCCTCATCGCACCCTGCATGGCGTTGCCCGTCTTCATTAGCCCACATGGTGCAGAAAAGTAGGACGTAAAACTCCATTCATTTCATTTTCATTTCATTTCATTTTCCCATTGAATCTTAAATCAATAATTAGACCCATTGTAGACAATCTTATCAAATCGGAATCAATATGAATAACTTTGGCACTAATACGGTCACTACCACGCTACACTGTCACTTCCGCGATCGGTATGCCTAGCGGTAGTGACATTCGCGGTAATGACATTCTGACATTTTCGGACTAACAGCATCTCTCCTAATAAACATAGGCTTACGGGTGTCTGTGGTCTTTCGTAATGGGGTTAAATTTTATTTTATAGTAATATGGGGCATCTATGGTGTTCGCGGAATTGACGGACAATAAACATACTTACAAACTTCAGTTTTTAAAAATCTATTTTCTCCGAAAGTGTAATAGTTGAGAGTTGTCTCCCGATTTCATAATTTGTAATTTACGTTCGCGGTGGTGACTTAATTTCGATGGACAGATTTGTGATAAAAGACCTGTTGTGAAAATTGACTTTTGATTTACTGTAAAACATTAAGAAAAGATAACTGATTTTATTTCATATGCTTTAGAGCTAAACATATTTTTAAAATCGGAATTGGAGGATGGGCATTCAAAAAAACGACACCCTACCGTCTTACGGCAGATTAAAAAAAAATAAAGTGTACCACTTGTGCCCCTATTTACCATTATTTAGATCTTCAATTTGAACCCCAAATTAAATTTTAAATAATGAATATATCTTTGATGGTGTTATAAAAAGTGTTTAAAAGATAGTTAAGGTGTCTGTAAATTAACTGATTTGAATTTAGTAGGCCTAATCATATTTATACAGAAATAATAATTTGGTGTGCATCCCTTCTGCTTATATTAGAGACAAATAATTTCATCTAAAAATTATTTCACAGCAACTAATATAGTTTTAACATGATATTAGATTGTTTTAGAGAAGAAAGATCAATAAAAATCTACATGAAAATTGGTTTTATGACAAGTCAAATGTCCACCAAATTCAAAGACGGACAGACATGTTGAGTTTTATTTACTTTCGTCGCATCATTTCACAATCTTAAACAACACTTTTTGCCTTATTATTAAGGCGCTGGTTCAGAGAGAAAAAGAATATTATTTAAAAAAAAAATGGACTTCAAAGCTGGAACTTTTTTCAAATTTCAAGAATTGGTGTTATGTTACATGTGGACGGACTTATTTACATAAATGTAACACGCATAACATATTTTACAGTCTGAATAACTTGCGAAATAACTTCAGCTTTTGTGATTATATTAAATTGTACAAATTGTATTCAATAAATCCATAACTCTATTTTCAAAATTATTGAGTTATAACTTTTTTTCAAAACATTGAAAACTATTTTCCCAAATATTGAGTTATGTGTTGTGTGTTATAAATTTCATTAACAATAATATGTAAAGCCTAACTAGTATCATTTCTCCAGAAAGGAATAAACTACATAGGAATAGCAAAAAGTAAGTGTGCTACACTAACCCCATTTTACGCGATTAGACAGTGTAATTGCCATTCCTTTTGCCGTTGCTTATGTTACATTTGGACGGATCCAAATGATAAAAATTTGCAATCATCACTCTTATTTTAACCACAGAATTTACATCAATATTTGTTTTAGCTTGAAAGTTTATCATTCCATTTCTAAAAGGCATGGTCATGGGGATATATAAGTAAACAATTTGTAGAACAAGTAATCTTTATATATAAGCTGATATAACATGAAATTTTCAAATTTTTGAACAAACAAGTAACAAGTAACAAAGTCCAACAGAAAGGAAGCTGGGTCAGTTGTGGTTTATGATGGTGTAAACCAGGGCTGGGCGATATATACCAATCACAATAATATACAGTTATAGATTTGCACCATTCAATTTTCCAATCAGATGTCTGTGGTTCCTGCAATTGCCCTAAAAGTAAGTGAATTATGACAAATCATAAAGTCCTTACTTGTGTGATATTTTTCATCATCAAACATTTGTATTGGAGCTGCAGGAACCACAGAAGTCGGAATGAAAATTGGAATGGTGCAAATAGATGAAATTGATCAGTTTTCCCCCCACACATATACTTTTTTTTTTCGAAAATCTCTTTACAATCCCTTTAAAAAGGGTATCAACCTGAACCAATATGCTCCAGGCCTATTCTTACCAAAATAAAACCACTTTCACGGAGGGGAACTCATAGTAAACACGAGTTCCACAAAGAGAAAGTTCGGGTGGTTTTATTTTGGCAAGAATATCACTCTGATTAATAAGGTAGTCTGCTTCATTGTCCAACCATAAAGTCCTGCTCTTCTTCTCATAATATCTGACTGATAGTGGATTATCTGAAGTAATCTAAAAAAAAAAAAAACACATTTACATATATAAACATTTGATTAGGAATATACAATAAATTTTTATCAATGAGATTCATTTCATCTCAGGTTTTCACTAATAATCAAATCCAGCGTCAAAACAACTAGAGCAAGCTTTTTCATGGACCGCATTTCCCAATAAACATAAAAACACAGTAACGAAACAATTCAATTATAAACAGGCAACAACATAAAAAACCTAAAAGCAATTGAACATTTAGGTTTTAACAAAAGGTAGATCTTAAAACAGCTGGAAGGGGGTCATTTACATCCTTCACCAATACATAATCTCCACAGGAATAACTTTAAATATTACAATATCGTTGAGCCTTTTTACTTGCAGGTTGTAACAATATGTTATTTTTAATCCAACAAATGGTTTGATAAAATAATTGACTCCATTATAACCATGCAAACAAACAGGAACAATATTACTTTAAGTATTCTGAGCCGAATTGCCTATCCATATAAATATTAATACTAAATGGTATTTCTCAAATCAAACTAATATAATAAGCTTACCGAATATCTTCCTCTTGAAATTCGATGTTTGACAAGATTAGGCATTTGTTCTTCACTACATGTTAAATCTGGCAAAATATCTTAAATTCAAAAATGACACATTTGTAAATTCAAAACAAAACTATATGGTCATCGGTTTAGGTCATTGAAAATGGAAAATTTCTTATTTCTTCCTTCCAATTATGTGCATAATCTATTTAACAGCAATGGCATTGTGGTCCAGGTCAGACATAAACCTACTCTTCTAAACACCTGAAACCAAATTTATCTATGAAATTATTTCTCATTTCTGATTGAAGTGCTTTATTGGATGTCATATTTGTTTCGCAGTTTGGAACAGAACATTACATAAAAAACAAATGCAATTGATAGCCATACATACCATCAATAGCACTGAACGAACAATTTGTGGGTAACTCATCATTTTCATTTAACATGTCTGCAACCACACCAACAATAGATACGTAAAATTTTTAATTATCGATTGTTTTCGGCGTCACTGTTTAATAACTTAGTTTAGCTGTGCCATAACTTAAATTGAAAATATTGGATACAAAACTAAAATGGTCTATTTAAATTAACTAGCCCATTTTATACTGAGATATGAACTACACATATCTTACTGTCAGCTAAAGAACTATCTAGGAAATCTATCCCACCATCTTCCACATCCATTTCTTCTGAATCCCCTACAACCTCTACTTCACATTGTTTTTTGATGAGTGTTCTTTTATTAAATTCACCAACATAGTTTATATTTATGCCGATTTCATCATTGTCTATTCTCCAATATTTGCAGAAACAAGACAACTCACGAACCAATAAATCATATGGTGCAGTTGGGATATTCTTTGCCTGGTGAATCTTTCTACAGCCATTAAGAGTTTACACATCTGTATAAGGTCTGTCCCGATTTATGTCCCCTGTTGCCACAAAAGCAAATGTTCGCTTTGTTAACTCTTCATTCACTACCAGGTTTCTTTTCACACCAGTCGAACAGCTCCCTAGCTCCTAGAATTATGATTTGTCGCCCAATTATTGCTCGGTCAACCAAACGATTAAGAACACCTGTCTTCCCATCAGCTTCTCCTTTCCCATGTTTACTTCCATAAAATGTCGATCAATCGAACACATTGAAATGCTCAAGTCTGTAAAAGACTTACTACCCTTGTATTGGGCACTACACCCATCACTGAAAATAACCTGTTTCTGTACATATACACCATTTCTTCTCAGATGAGATTCTGCCACATTCAAAAAACTTTTTACAGCATGGTGGTCATAGTTGCGGTCGTCAGAAATTATTATGAGAACATCCCTAACAAGTTCATGAAGGTCTTTGTCCTTGTAGTACATGACAATTGGATAAATAGTGATTTGAGCTTGACCAAAGAATGCTTTTTTTTTTATCTCATCTTGATAAAACACACTACGATTTTTTGGCAAAGTCAACAACAAGCAATACCCAAACATTTGGTAAATCTTTTTTTATGTTTTCGTATTGTTTATATTGCCACTGAGCATTAAAAACATGGCGAATATAATAGGTTTGCAGACATCAACCACCATCTCCTGAATTACAGTTAATAATTATAATAATAATAAAATCTTTAATGACAAGGGTGAAAATTAGGCCAAAGGCCTCTTTACAATTTTGCCCGGTAGTCAGGGGTTGGGTTTTTGTCACCAGTTTGTCTTCTAATCACTTTTGAACCATCAGGCTTTTTAAGGGGTTTTCTTTTCCAGTGATTCCAGGATACAAGCTTATCAAAATCTTTATCAATAATTGATTTATAATAATTTTTGATAGTCTTATCATAGTCCTATCACTCGGAACGAAACGATTTAAACAAAGCAGTTTGTACTTTATGTTAACACAATAGACGCAGAGACAATATTCTTTTTGACTCACAGGACTTAAACGCACATTCTTTGGCCGCAACATTGAAAATTTTGTATATCCTATTTTGGTATTTGGAAAATCAGCAACAAATAGGTCAAAAGCGGCCTTTAGACACACCTGCATGGCAAATGCTGGACCCGCCTTTGTGGCGAATCTTTTACTTGGAAGTTGCCTTGATATATGTAATCTTTTATAAAAACTACTTACATGATCCTGTAATTGTTTACGATTAATTTTTTCACTTTCACTGAGTTTCTTTCTAATGCGTTTTTTTATGGTTTTTCGATTCAGTCCTAAAGTTTTTGACAATTGTCTTTGACTTAAGTATTTGCTCAAAATTTTGCCTTTTTGGCAGATATATCCATTTCGCCAAACAAACTTTTGAACTGTTTTACAGGTACAGGTACATGTATCTGTTTTCTTTTTTTTATGTGACACATGATCTTGATTTACTTCACAACCTTTAAGATGTACCCCAGACCTCTTCTGTCTTTTTCTTTTTCTAACTTTTTCTCTTATCCTTCTTCGTTTGTGC